ATTTTATTTCATCTTTGTGTTGCGATATTCAAGATTTATTGAACAGTTTTTAAGCCAGTGTTGACCTTCCTGAAAAAGTCACGTGTAGAATTAAATACTAAACTGTGTAGACTCCTGGAAGGTGATGGAGTCTGATCGGATAACTTAGTTATTTGTCCCCTGAGAATGCTACACATTCCGGCTGGAGGTCTGTCTAGGCTTCCAGTAAACAGATCTTGAAGAAAACAAATAAAATATGAACTTCATTTGAGAAAAAGTGTAGATACATGAAACTGCTCATGTTTTTTAAAGTTCATCGTCTGTTATATTGGATACCCTGTTTCCCCCAAAATAAGACCAGGTCTTATATTAAACTTTTGCTCCAAAAACATATTAGGGCTTATATTTAGGAGATGTTTTAATTTTTTCATGTACAACAATCTATATTTATTCAAATACAGTCGTGTCATCTTCTTCTGAAACATTGTCGTAACTCTCCCGAATTCTGGCCTGAATTTCTTGTGATTCTCTCCAGGGAGCGGGGAGTGGTGGTGGTGATGGTGATTTTAGCATTTGGGACCCCAACACAAACTGGCCTCAAACCCCTTCCGTCGCAGGACTGGACGGTTTCTGTCTCATTTCGGGAACACGTTTGCTTGTTGGGGTCTGGCCTCAAACCCCTTCCGTCGCAGGACCGGACGGTTTCTATCTCATTTCGGGAACACATTTGCTTGTTGAGGTGGTGGTGGTAGGAGGAAGTAATGGATCGTCCTGGCTTGCATAGATGAGACAGAGTCAATTCTAGTTGCTGCACAAGGAGTTCCTGGTGGAGGGTGGGGTTTCACTTAACTGGGGCTTATTTTGGGAGTAGGGCTTATATTATGAGAATCGTGAAAAATCATACTAGGGCTTATTTTCAAATTAGGTCTTATTTTCGGGGAAACAGGGTAGCTAGTCTTAGTCCAGCACTTACTGCAAATAAAGGTTTCCTTTACTAAACTAAGTAATTGAGCTTGATAGACTAACAGTATTTCACTAGCAGAGAAATATCCCTGACATCATCAGAAATTACCCATACTGTGTGGCTCGATACCATGACATACGCTAACATCCATGGGATAGCATTTCCACACATTATTAATTCTTACACAGATTCTACAAGTGTAGTGTGTTACATGCTGTCAAGTTGCATCCAACCTATAGAGACCCTAATAGGATTTTCACACTATGTGAGATATTTAAAAAGTGTTTTTTCCACTGATATCCCCCTTGAAAAGTAACCACTTTATAAAAACATTAGCTTCTTAATGTACATATTTTGCAGGTTTAACATATTTCCGGTCACATTTTGGAATGCTTTTGCCTTGTTCACAGTTTGTATTTGAACAATGTATCCTATAAGACAACAGTAACAACAATTGTAGGTTTTATTTCTGCTATTTGTTAACATCTGTATTTTATAATCCTAAAATGCTTGTTCTCAATTCTTAACTTCTGTATTCTGCTTGCAGAATTCTCAGAACTTCTTGTGCCTGTACCAAGGAGTTTCAGGAATAGAGGTTATATCTAAGTAGCAGAGCCAACCTTGGCAATATCGCATATTCATGGATGGATTTGTGGCAGTGTCTTAATCACTGAGATGCCCAGTGTAGTGTAGTGGATAGAATTATGAACTAGGACTCAGGAAGCCTGGGTTCAAATTCCCCAACCAACTATGGAAACTCACTGGGGGTGTAGAACTCTGAAAACTACAGTGCTCCTTAAATATCTCACTTACCTTGAAAACTCTACTAGGTTCATTATAAGTTGGTTGTAACTTAATGGGATATAACAACAACTTAATCATATCAGCTAAATGAGAACGTGCATAAACAGAATCAATGTTGTATTTTTCCATGTCTAAGACAATACTCTTCTCTAAAACATTTAGATTAAAAATTGAGGGTCGTCTTATACATGGAAGTAAGGAGGGGGAAGGATCAAAGCACTTTGATCCTTGCATTCCCCCTCCACTTTCTTCCAAAGAAAAGTGCTTTGATTCCTGCTTTCCCCCTCCACTTTTTATGAAGAAAGTGGAGGGGGAAAGCAGGAATCATCAAAGCGCATTGATTCCTGCTTTCCTTCTCCACGTTTTGTGAAGAAAGTGGAGAGGGAAAGCACTTTCCTCGCAAGAAAGTGGAGGGGAAAGCAGGAATCATCAAAGTGTTGAGTCCTGCTTTCCCCCTCCACTTTCTTATGAAGAAAGACATTTTGGGTTAGAAAAGTGATGGTGGCATCTTATACATGGGGGCATCTTATACGTGGAAAAATATGGCATATCTCTGAAAACAAATGCTGATGACAAACAGTGTCTGAGTTCAAAATTATATGGTAATGCATCAATTTGGTAACATTTCCAGTATTAAAGTGTGGTTGTCTTTTGGGACATCATGATGATGATGATGATTCAGAAACACCAGGCACAGTCAATCCAAATTATAAAAATATTGACTTGTATTATAAAACAGATAAAAGTTTTAACTAAAAACCTAAGTATCAAATATTGGCACAGTATGTATGCTGTTCCTAATACTGCCGTTTTTGTAGCTCTCATGGTGTGATTTCTGAGCTCTGCAACTGCTTATAGTAGAAATTTCTTGATATTGTTCCCAAAGCCCCAATGACTACAGGAACCCACTGAAGTGTGTTTCATCCACATGCAATATGTTTTGATTGCCAGGTCTCTGTACTTTTTCTAATAGTTTATTTTCAACTCTAGCACCCCCTGGAATTGCAATGTCAATGATCTGGGCATTTCTTTGTTCTATTACTACTATGGCTAGTGTGTTATATTCAAGGTGTCTATCACTTTGGATCTGGAAATCCCACAAGACCTTGACACCTTCTCTGCCTGATGTTCCCATGTTTTTTTGGAGGCTGGCAAGTAATACATCTTGCTTAATGACCAGTGCACTAACTTTGCCACTCTATCATGTCTAACTTTGTAATCCGTGCAATCTTTGGACATTCACAGATGATACGTGGCACAGTTTCATCTTTTTCTCAGCGGTTTGTGCAATCTTTGGACATTCACAGATATGTGGTACAGTTTCATCTTTTTCTCAGATGGAGTCAGCATTTGCTGTTAGCACTAATTCCTTGGATCTTAGCTGTCATCACATTGGTTTGGAGTGCTTGTTGTTGTCCAGCAAAAATCAAGGCTCCCCCTGAAAAAGTCTTCTTTTTATGCCTATCCACAATTTCTTCGCCGTGGGCCATAAAGACAGTTTCCCATTTTTCCATGTTTTTCTTGTGGAATTTCTGAATATGTTTACTAATTTGAAACATTTTTAGGCAGGTGTTAATCCAGCTGTGTGGCAATGAGTCAAATGCCTTTTTATAGTCTATTCAGGCCATGTTAAAGTTTGTTTTTTGTCTTTGCATTCTTCAGTATCATCTTATTAATAAGCAGCTGATCTTTCGTGCCTTCTGACTTTTTAAAGTTCCCTTTTTGTTCAGCTCTTCAGGGAGACAAGGTGCACTCCAAGTTTTTCACAGCAGTTCAGCTCTTCAGGGAGACAAGGTGCACTGCAAGTTTTTCACAGCCTTTCCTTGCCTCTTAATCATTTGAGTTGTTATTACAATATCATCCATTTGTTTTCCTTGAGTTTCTTTACAAATGTCTTTTATCTATGAGGTCTTTTCGTTATGTCCAGTTGGGCTTTCCCACATTTTCCCCCAAAGCTTTAGAGCATCATCTTTGCACGGGACTAATTTCTTTTGCTCTGCATTGATGTCCAGTTGGGCTTTCCCACATTTTTCCCCAAAGTTTGCGAGCATCATCTTTGCATGGGACTAATTTCTTTTGCTCTGCATTATCTCCTAGTGGTGTATAGAATAATCATTGGTTATTTCAAAATTGTGTGTTTTCTCTATATTATTTCAAGCGTCCATCATATCTTTCAATTTTCTTTGCTGTAGCTGTTGGCTGCTGTTTTAATTCTTCCATAGTTTCACAATTGTTTTCCTTTCTAGCTCATTTTTTTTTTGCATAGTCTGGCTTTTACTTTTTCATTTTTCATTTTTGAATCTTTCAAGTGTTTTAGGTTGCTAATGTCTGCATGCAATTTGTTTACTTTTCTTTCCAGCTGAATTTTTCACTTTTGTTGCTAGCTGTTTAGACATTAATGGCTGTGTGTTGCGATATTTTGGGGGGACAGCACATTTACAGTGTTATACAAACTGCATACTCACTGCTTTACATTGTAGCCAAGTGTCATTTCTTCAGTGTTGTCACATGAAAAGATATACTAAAATATTTATGAAATGTGAGGGGGTGTACTCACTTTTGTGATACACTGTAGCTCTCAGCCTCACTGATGCATGCAAGCCTCTCTGTATCAACAAGGCTTGTGCCCATGGAGGGGATGATGATGATGTTGTTGTTGTTGATGATGATGATGACGACGATGACAACGATTGGAACTCCAGCGTTTGAATTTTATTATCTGAATACATTCTGCTATCTGGAATAAGAGTTGTGATAGGTTTACATTTTAACTGTGACAGTGTTCTGAGTATTGTGAGAGCAATTCTGGCTTTGGATTATTTAAGACATATGATTGTACCAGTCATGGTCACTTGAGACAGAGGGAAACTTTATGACTCATTTTGATCTTCAGAAAAACTGAAAGCCACAAGACTGGTTGATTTTAAGAGCTTCATCAGAAAATGCTATAATATTTCAGGTCAGTGTGTTTTAGGATTTTTCTCAAAAACACCAGCTTGTAGAATAGGAGTCAACTATAAAGTCAGCTTACTTTTCTGAAATACAGTTCAAATGCTACTTGTGAGAAAAAGACTAGAGAAGGTTTGAGAAGATTTCTGAATAAAGCATTTCAGAACACTACAATGAGTGAAAATGCAGAAGAAAATGGCAATAATTTAATGTGCTGTATTGCAAAACCTGTTTTTGATTCAAAATATTGAACAGGGTTATATCTAAAAATGGTGTGTTTTCTCTTCTTTTTTTCCCCCTTTAGTTTGCAAATATGCTTGCCATAAGAAATGTGAAGCAAAGGTAAGTTCTTGATTTTCTGAAATATTGAAGCGGTTGGGCTGGATCCTAATGAAATTTGCAGCATATATATTTCCTCAAGGGTATATTTTGACAGTGTTTTTCAGTATAGTATTAATATCTCTAGAACAGAAAACCTAGCGCAGCGTAGCTCAACAGTGTAGAGCTATGTGCCTGTACATAAGGACAGTCTGCATATCTTTCTGAACTTGAATTGATAAGGGCATCAGATTAGTAAATAAAATTTCAGAACTTCTTCAAACATAATAAAAATAATTTTTTAAAACAACTGTTAATTTGAAAATTGCCTTGATTCTTTAGAAGCTTCCCAGATAACTTGTGAAATGCCAGTGTATTGATTAAATGGATGGATGAATGAATGGATGAAAACAGTTCTGTCAACAGATTCAGGGGCCAATCAGCAAGCACATTGAAGAGGGCCTTCTCCTGTGTGGCTTCCATTTTCATGGAATTTACTTCTGAGTTGCCATCTGTTTCCACCCTGGCTGATTTTAAGAAGGGAGTTAAAACACATCTTTTTGGATTGGCATATGATGCCTATACCTGTCTCATGTGTTCTTTGTTGATTTTAATTGTTCTTAGTGCGGTTACTAAATTTAATTTAAATGATTTTACTGTGGTGTTGATTTTAGGATTTTATGATCTATGTCTAAATGTGGTTTCATCTGTTTTTCTTCTTTAAGAAAATTGTAAGCCACGTGAGTGGTATCTTTTAATATACTGTAACTGGTGGTGGTGGTGATGATAACAAGTAAAAAACAATAAAGGACTAACAATATTACAACTAGCAAGTGAGAACCAACCTACAGTAATGATAAACCCACAGTGCAAGGAATCATATACAAGTCCTTTTTCCTGGCCCCTTCCCTGGTTCCTGATAATCCTTTGCCTTGTTCTGTGGTTAGGTTAGCTGAGCCCAAGTTCTTCTTAGTCCACATAATAGTTATAGTGAATTGAAGGCATTAGTCCCAGCTGTTGGGCCTTCCTCAAGGATGGATGGTAGGCTTGAATAAATGTTCGCCCTTCAAGAGCTGCAGCTGTTCCTCTCCTGAGCTAGCTGCATCAACCTCTGGTGTTGGCGTTTGCATTTAGAGCATCTTCTCTTTGTGAGTGTGAGATGCCCTTGCTGAACTGGCTGGCAGCAGCGGGCTCCTGGCTGTCTCTCAGCCAGTCCAACTATGATGAGGTGTGATGCTCTGCTCACTAGCTCTTGGCCCTGAGTGAAAGTTGTCTAGGCTCATATCAAGGTGGACTGGAGCACAAAGGAGTCATCCGCTTCTTCGTCTTCCAGAGTGCAGAAACACCCGCACCTGCTTCTCCAGTGTCTCCTCCTCCTCTTTCTCCTCCTTTATTCCCCCCTCACAACTGGCCTTGACTTTTCTCTCCTATCTGTGGGTAGCTGAGGAACCTACCTCCTGGGCTCAAGGTTCATCTTTCCACTCCTCGTCCCCACTTGGCTATCCAGTGTCCCAATCTTTGGTCTGCCTTGAATTCAGCATCTGGGAAGACATCTCTGGCAGGCTTGTTGGACTCTCTGAGAATGGACTCTCTGAAGAATCATCTATAACAATGTGCATGTTGCATTTCTTATTACATGACGGAAATATTCTAACTTTCTGCATTTTGTGTTTTTATGGCTTTTAAAATCTTCATTCATTTGCTGTAGTACTTCTTTATTGGTCACCCTCTCAAGCTAAGAAAATTTTAGTATCCTACCATAAATCTACATTTCAAATACTTTTACCTTTTTTTTTTTTTGATAAAACTCCCATAATTCCATGCCATTCATACCAAGAAGACATGACATGTACAGTGGGAATTGTAACCTAGGGATGTGTGTTATCACCAAAATTCAGAATTCAGTTTTATAATTTGTAATCATAGCCCTTTGGATTCAGAATTCAGGATTTTTTAAAAATTGTAATTTCTAGATATCCAGAACATTGTTACAGTCAGAATGAACTAGTTGTAAGTTTTATTGTGTATTGAGACTTGACACTTTAAGAAAGCTGCTCCGGCCCATTCTGACTTCTGTTAAGCAGCTATGATCACACCGTTCATTCAGCTAAATTTCAAATAACTTGTAATTGTAACATGTTCACATTTTGTTCTGGATCCTCAACTGAATTTCTTTGGCTCCCTGCTTTTTTACTGCATACCATGATCTTAGTTTATTTCATTTACTTTATTAAGTATCATTTATGATTATTTAATGCTTTTAAAATATTGTAATACTTTATTATAATTATTTTAATTGTTTCTTTTAATACTTGAAGTGCCCTTGGATCTTCCTTTAAAAGAAAGCTGGCATATAAATATTTTAAATAAATAACAATAGGCCATCTTCAGTGAAGACTGGCTTTAATGAGATATAAATATACAATTGCTCCATAAACTATATGTGTACTTTACTTCTGTTGTATGTGGTCGCGTGGTTTATATCCTGGGATGAACTCCCCAAGAACTTTTAGCAGTGCCGATTTATTTCTTCCTATTTGTATTGTTATGGCTGGCTACACCACGGTGCCATTTTATTTTCTCTCTTGCTTCAAGTGGCAGTTTAGCCCCTTCATTTATACATGTATTTTAAAAAATAATATTTAGTATCAGAAAGATGGCTCCTTCTAAGGTGCATGGCTGTGCAAGTGCACTTGACTCCACACCCCCTCTGGACAGCTTTCCTCCTTCCTTGTACACCCACAGTGGTCGTTTCCAGCCCCTTTCATTCTGGTTGCAATGGAACCTCATACGGGTGTGTGCATGTGGAAATTAGAGGGAACATTAATTGGGAAGAAAAAGTGTCTTCTGTTGCACTGGCTGCTCCTGCAGAAATGCATTACACGCAATAGACTTGGGATGTCCGCGCAGCAGTATTGGCAATCACATACACACTCCGGTGACATTGGCATACTAATGTTTCAATGTGTCTTCCCATAAAATAATAATAATAAAAATTACTTGCCAGTTATGCAATGGCGGATGCCCCCCGGTGACATTCTTTTACTAACGTATTAATGTATTAGGCATGAAAAAAATATTTAAAAAATAATGTGTGTGCTGCCGTAATGGCAACCATTCTCCTGGCTTCAATTCTGGAAAGAAGTGAGGCAGGGTATGCACACAGGCAATCCTGGTGAGGAATGATCCTGTACAACAAAGGTACAAAATAACACAACCTTCCTGGCAATAGGGAAATGTTCTGCTAGATGGGAAAATGTCTCGATCTTGACTCAGCGTTGTGTGACCAGAAAAAAAAAGCAATGATTTAACTGGGGGATAAGTAGAGAACATTTCCCTCATGTGACCAGGGCCTAAGTCCCTCTTGCTTCAGGGGCCGGGGGAGTGTGGGAGAAGTCAATTCCCACTGCATGAAGGAGAGATGGGGAAGAATAGCAATTTAGTAAAACCTATCCGTAGTTGTTTTGTATTTCTATTGATATAACTTGGAAATGCAGTGAAATTAAACACTGTATTTTACAGACGACTCTGGAATGACTGTGTCAGGGATTCTGAGACTGAGCACTGGACTGGTGAAGATAGGTCAGTGGATATGAAAGCAAGAAAATGATTAACTGTATGGAAAATGTACTTCCATGGAACACTGCAGCTTTCAGATGACATGCTCTACTATGGGTCCCAATAATTAAACAGCATATTATTGGGGAAAAAATATCCCAATGAAATGTCAAGCCACCCTACAGACATTTCATTGGGATATTTTTCCCCCAAGAATATGCTGTTTAATTATTGGGACCCATGTCCAATGATATTATTAACATTAAGTCTTCCTGCTACTAAATAACAACAGCTTTTAAAATCTAATGTTTATTTCCTATTTTTTATTTATAATAAGTTTTTGTTGTCTTGGATAGGAAAGAGGAGTAATAATATTTTTAAGACACCGAAACGCTTTCATGATTCCTTTTTGTTGGGTGTTGAGAGAAAGGAGAGTGGAGAACTAATTAAAGCAAATGATCGACCTCATATAAAATGTATTTTTGCGTTTTGTTATTGTGGAAATAATGTTTGGACCTACAAACCCTTCTGCAGATATGGGGCATTTCATGATCCACACTGTCAAAGGCTTTCTTGTAATCATATGGCAGATTGTAAAGTTAGGGTTAGGGTTGCAGTAATATCCTGTACTGCATTTTCAGTTTAATCCCTATCCATCCAGTTTGAAGAGCTCAACATGGGACTCCTTGCAATCTTTGATTGTTTGTTGTTAACAATGTGATACTGTTAACAAACACCTGACCCATGTGCTCAGCCCAAACTATTGATTATTTATGAACAAGCTAAAACAGAGTTTACAGAGCTTAACATCACAGATGGAATTTTCATGTTGTTTCTGAATGCAATTATCTTTTATGGAGTTAGTCTGAATATTCTACTGTGAGCCATTAATTTTTATTTGCTTATTGCAGTGACAGGAAGTCAAATAAATCCATCAGAATGCATAGGTTTTCATGAAATCATTTAGAATTTGGACAGGTATGAAACACTTACTTACTTTGGTTGGCTGAATCTAAATGTCCAGATTATTGCCGCTTGCCTTTAATAGTACTCTTTAAAATGCCAGCATTTGGCTGGAACTCTTGACTACTCATGCATGCAGTCTCACTGTGAAGAACCTTCTTTTCCTGGATTGACTTAATGTGCCCAGACTGTCCATTGGCCCCTGTTGGGCCAGAAGGTGTTAAGAGGGATTTCTGTTTAAAAAATCATTTCCAACCTAAGATTTTTCCATTTTTTTTTGTTTTCTATTGCAAGTGAATTGCGTTTTTAAAATGAAGATTCAGAGTTTAACCATTTTGTGGCCTTCTTGCTTCTAGCAAAACTAAGGTTTTGAGTTCTGCTATGAGAGAAAGATGGTGCAGAAATAATATACAGTGGGGTCTTGACTTAAGAACGGCTCGAGTTAAGAACATTTTGACTTAAGAACCACTATCATAGGAAAATATTGACTTGACTTACATACT